AAGAGTGCTATGGGCATGAATCTGTTACAACTGTGAACCTTCTGATCATAAAACTTGCCCTCATCCTTTTGCCGAAGCAGAGCTACAGGGGAAGCCCAAGTTAAACCACAGCCAGTGGAGGACAACCAACTTAGGATACATGTGGGGTATTCATCTGATGTGTGATGGTCAATAGTTTAATCTATGCCAGAGATAATTAGGAATAGTAATTATAATAATAGCTGACAGTTATGTGGCATTCCCTATGGCACGTAAATGGATTAAGCCCTACATATACTTTCACTTATTTGATCCTTATTCAATCATTAGATAATCATTAGCTAAGTGACCATTTTATACCAGACATTCTTTTAAACACTACAGTAAGGTTAATGTAAACCAACCAAATAACTTTTCATATGGAACACACATCTTATTGAGGAAAAAATAAATAAATAAATATATTGAGTCTTTGGGGAAATCATAATGCATTTTTGCATAGAAAAACATAGAAAAATATGTCATGACTTTCCTGACGATCTAATAGTTAATAAGAATAATGTGATGATGAAGAATGGTAAGTGTTTTGAAAATTAAGCAGAAAAGGGGCCAGTAGGTGGTGTGGCAGTTAAGATGCTGGATTCCCACATGGCTGACCGCACTGAGTCCTAGACATGGTGGCTTAAAAATCATACTGCATGTGTGTGTGTGCATTCCCAAAATCCCAGGAGGAGAATGGAAGTGAAGATATTGTAGTGTGGCCATCCCCTGCCCCCCTAGGGATGATTTCTCCTTTTCCCTCTCACTATCTCTCTAATTCTCACCAGCGAGCACACATACCATATGACAAAAACCTTAAAAACTAAAATAAAAACCAAACAGAAAAATAGAAAAATAGAAGGTGACTGTGAGGTTTGGAGGGAAAAGGGAAGTTCAAATTTTCAGTGTGATGGTTTATTGTTCTCTCATTCTGAAGATGATAGCTGAGAAAAGACTTATGGGAAATGAGGTAGTTAATCATATGGCTATTCAGAAGAACATTCTGGGTAGAGAAAACAGCTGAGAGAAAGGTCCTATATGGAAAGTATGTGCCTGGTGTTCAAGTTCAGGGATTAACTGAAGTGAGTAAAGAAATGAAGAAAATGTTCCAAGAGGTCACACAGGCCCAGATTTGTGGGCCTCTCTCACAGAGAGTTGTCATAACTTTCCTATAATTGTGAACAGAATAGGCACTCCTAGAGGGTTTTGAAAAGAGAACTGACCTAATCTGATCTCACTTTAAACAGGATCACCCTGGTTATTGTGATCAGGACATAGTGGAGATGGTGAAGGTAGAAAAGAAGAAGCCTGTTTTAAGGCCATTACAGCAATGGAGGCTAAAGATGATGATTATAGGCTTGCTATCTGAAGAAATAACAAGATATTACAGATTATCAAGTTACATAAAACAAATTTCACATAGATCAACGACTGAGTAGAGGAGAAAAAGAACATGAAGAACAAACCTAAAGTTTTGCCTGTCATCTGGTGCAGGAAAATTCACAGTGGAATGCATAGTAGGAAAATCTGTAGTTTCATATGAATGCATCTAGTCTTTACAAAATCCTTATTGGGTAGGTTCTAATAGAACCCTCAGTTTACAGATGCTAAATTTGAAGCACAGATTAATTAACTAACTTGCTCAAGATTATAAACTAATAAGAAGAGAAGTCAGGTTTTCAAATGACAAAATTTGGCTCCAGAATCAATGCTTTTAGAAACTAATGTCTACTGCTAACTGGAAGTCAGAAGTTCTCTCTCAAAATGAGACTAAATATTTGTCAAAGAGAGCATGCCTGGCTTTGGTTCAAAATGCTAGAGGACTTTGGAATGATTCTCTAATCAGGATATGCCACAGGCTTGAACAACATAGAATCTACGGGTTATAAAGACCAAGATGCTTATAAAGCAGAGCTTCTTCCCTATGGCTTGGCATTCTAAGCTTGGCACTCTAAGAGTCAGCGTTCTGGAGCAAATTCAAAGAGGATGGTATTGTTTCCAGTATGTCGACTTGACTTAAGATGGGGCTATCTTTGAGTCCACATTCAGTACCAAAGGAGGAAAAGTTAGAACTGTTTCTCGCTTCTCAAGCTGAAATATCAAGTTTGAAAATTTCTATAGTAAAGTCACACAGACCAGTAATTTTGCCCATTGTAATATTGAATTTCACAAAGTTCGGCCTCATTTTGAGAACCATTTTCCCACAAATATTTGTTGCATTTGTTCTGATATAAATGACCACAAGCTTGTAATTCTTTGGCATATTTGCCTGCTCTCTGTAGATTACATCACTTCTGTGCCCTCTGAGCCAGCATGTGGTATGATTCCATTACCTGGTTTTAGGCCCTACAAAATACTACAGAGTGGAGAATGAAGATTGTTGGCATCTTCGTAAGAGGAGACTACCTCATGTGTGGTCATCACAGTTTTTCCAAACAAGGCAGAATTGATGGAGGCTGTGGACGATTAATTTCATACAGAAAGTTTCAGGAAGAATTTAAAGATTGAGGCATTTGAAGTTATCCAAACAGACTCTAATGCCAGCATTCCAATTTTATCTTTTTCAAACAGAGTCTTAATTCTCACATAAAAAACAAAGCAAGTCTGTGTTATCCCAGCCACTCACATGACCAGTGATAGGAATGTAAGAGCAGTCACAGGACCTCAAGTCTGAAGCTTGTTCCTTGCTCTTTTTAAAAGTGCTGGGCTTCTCTATGCCCTAGACTTAGTCTATGTGTCTGATTTCTCCAGCATAGTTGTCACCTTAAGATAGTATCCTTATATTAATTTTTTGTCATGGTAATCTATTATATCAGTCCCCCAAAACTTGTCTTCAATAGCTATTTTATTTCAGCAGTACAAGCTAGTTAAACAGTTTTGCAATCATGCTTTATAGAAATACCAGTCTTCATTTTCTAATGATCGTGTGGACATTCGTGACTTCAAAAGCAGCCAGAGAGATAACCAATATCACCACCAAGTCTCTGAGTGCCTGCTGCCTACAGCAGTTAGTGTTCCATTCTATAAAGCAATGTCCACCTCTCTAGCCATTTTAAGAAAAAAAAAGAATTAGAAGATACTAGTAGTTTTATTATCTAGAGGATAAGGAAAGCGGAAGAAATAGCTTGAGGAATGTCTCCTAAAGTCATCAATTACAGGAAGCAGGACAACAGAGTGGGGATTTATCTAATACAGAGAATGCCTGCACCACCATGGCTCCAATCGGGAGTCATAATAGCTGAAACCTATCACATTTAGGAAGCTAGTCAGGCTCCAGAAAATATATGACAATGGCAAATGGATAACCCACTTCTCTTCCCTCTTGATATCCATCACTCAGTGACTGATATTTTTCCAGTATGAACAGAAAAACTAGGGCTTCTGCCATTGTGCATGGCAGCAGAAACCCCAGAACCGACAGATATTTGACCTATTTTTGCTTTCATTGTCCCACACAAGTGCATTTGATTGGTCAAACCTAAATTTTATCTACAACTGAGAAGCCGTGCTGTCTGGGAAATGTAGTTTCATTTTCCATTGTGTAGTACAGAGGCACACTAAAGGCAGAGTGGAATAGAAACTGAGGGCTGCCCCACCATCTCCAGCACAACGTGGCTCGGTCCTCAGAGGTTCGTCTTACCATCTTATAGCATCTTCTACTACCTTCTGCTACCGTTTGCCTAACACTGACTGTAGGCTATCTCTTCCTGCCAGTAATTTCTGAGTCTTCTCTTGCCTTGACTCTTGCTGTGTTCACTCTGTTGGAGTTATGGTATTTCTCCAGTAAGTCCTTTAGGAAAGTGTTTTTTGTTTTGTTTGTTTGTTTGTTTGTTTTTCTTTTTTTGGAGAGGTTTTTGCTATAGGGCGCATGTGCTTGTCAGAAAGACAGAGAGAAACAGAGACAGAAATCGAGAAATCACCCCCAGGGGGGATGGCCATGCCTCAATCCCTTCTCCTCCATTCTCTCAAGATCTTGGGCACGCGCACACACACACACGTCTGGAGTGAGTTTAAGCCACTGGATCTGGGACTCGAACCACAGTGACTACATGGGAGTCCAGCAACTTAGAGATTATGCCAACTGCTGGTCCCATTTGTTTTTTGTTTCTTTATTTTTATTTTTTGTTTTTTAATGAACTCCAATCTGGTTTCTTTCTATGGGTTTGTGTGTTATAGAAAGGAAACAACTAATGTTCTGCTTTAGAAGGAGATATAGCCAGTATCCAGGGTAGCCTTCCTTTTTATTGGTCTGCAGTCAGGGAGAAATTTCTCTTTCCATGATCTCTCAGTGCACGTCAGGATCTCCACTGTTCCTCTTGAAATCTCCTCATTTGGTTTCAGTTGGCACCCAGAACACCATCAATTCTCTCTAAAGAATGTCTAGCTCCGATTCATGAATAAAATATTTGTATTTTTAAACTCTCCAGGTACAGGACTACATAAAAATAGCATAATATTTTTATTCTCTTCTGAAAAGCTACTCTGACATCAAGCTATGTTTCTCAGTATTGGAGCCTCAACCAAAACCAAGAGAGAGCAGGTGCATTTTTAAGGCTCTATGATATGACATATGTGTGTTTATTTTAACATTATTTTATTAATAAATTCAACTTATTTTTAGGGTTGTTCTCTACCTATACT